TCCGTTTCAGGACATTTGGAGTCGATCTAGCGATGTCCGTCCGTCCAAAATTTTGGCCCTTTGTGGGGAAGGGACTTGATGGAGTCTATAATTGCAAATTCCGTTTCTCTCCAATTTCAAATCGGAGCTCTTTTCGACCTGTAGTGTGATTACTAATTAAAATGGACAGACGGAGGACTCAGCTCGACAAACTAAGAGGATCGATAAACTTTCTCGTCGAGCTGACCTATTTATGTATGTCCGTCCATCCGTCAGCGCATATTAAGTTTGTAATCACTGTATCGATCGCAAATATGGTCCAATCCTCACGATATCATGTAGGTAGTCAGTGCAACCGACAAAATTGAAGCCTACAGTTTCGGGAGATGTTCGCAAAATATTTATGGAATGAAATGGACCAAAAACTGTATTTTTACTGATTTTGTAGTTGCTCGCGTATTGAAATTACCAACAAATCTGATGAGGATAGTTCCTACAGCGCAGAAAGGTCCAATTTTTAGCGGGTGACCTGGAATGTATCAGAAATCGACCTTCCCAAAGTTCTTTCACCAATTTCAAAAATAAAATATATTTACATTTTTGTAGGGGAATTAGGAGCAGAATGTCATGTTAGTATCTAGTTTTCCCTTCGTTTTAATGTGTTTTTGCAACTAATCAAAACAATAATAATTTACCTTTTCTGCCATTCCGTTTTTTGCGCTTTTTTCACTGCAACCGGCAATTTGGTCTTACTTAGTTCAATTAAATCTCAACATGCAGATTTACAATCGTTGAAAACAGAGTTTCTTCAACAATTGAAAACGGCACTCATTAATTACAAACAAATTAACAAGTGAAACCAGACGGGAGCGATAGAGAATAATTAATACATTTTTGAAATGCATTAATGTTTTATCTCTTTGATGTGTTTTGTTAATAACATTTACAATTATACGATGCGGCTGCATTTATCACCGGCTGACCGTCCGACCGTCCGTTTTGCGGACTCGCTCGTGAGTATTTGGAAAACATGCACATTTGAGAAATGTCCGACATTTGCATAATAAAGCCATCCATTTGGAAACGTTGAAAGTTTTCTAATCACTTGCCCCCGCAAGTTTTGTGCGAAAGCAGCAGCGTTTCCAGAATTGCATGTTATTTTAATTTGCATCTGTGAATTGCATTTTGTTGTCTTATTTATTTATTTAGTTTTCATTGTGAGCTAAATGTTGAAAAGAAATAATTCACGACTCCGATGCGTCACCTTAAAGAAGTAAGCATCTAATACAATGGACATATAAAATGCAGAATATTTTGCAGATGAATGTAGGAAGCACACCACTTACTATGCAGCAATTGAAGGAAAGAGATTTAAGTAATTGCTAACTATTATGTATAATGTACTCCACCATAGCATGGAGAGTTTATTAAGAAGTTGGAAAGACAACTTCTCGAAATAATTATATATATATATATATACAGTCCCTTCTGTCAGTCTGTGGAAATCATGTTAGCTTCCGAACGAAATGAAGTAGTTTAATAAAATTTTGCTGAGATGCATTTTAAATCAGTAGAATTTTTGGTATTTATAATGGACCATATAGGTCCAGATTTTGAAATAACTAGTGAATATGTGACAGTACCGTCAGATTAAAGGTGTTTTGGCTGTTTTCGTAATATTTTAAATTGGCAGTTTGTGTTCTTTGCAAACGACTATCCATATGGATCATAGTTTAGGTATAGTCCCCATGTAACTGTACTCCCGATTTTCGGTATTTTGTTGACTTCTGTCACATTTTTACCGCATTTGTATCAATTCGTTCGTAAAATTGATGCGATTGGGGTGAAAAAGTGACACAAATAAAAAAAAACATATGGTGTCTATACCTTAACTCGGATCTGTATAGATGGTTATTTGCAAAGAAGTTTCTTACAAAATTTCAAAAAATATATATATTTACAGGTCTACGTTTTCGTATAAGACCCATATAATCCGGTATTTTGATGATTTTAGCTCCACTTTCACCAGAATTATTTCAAATTAGGAATTTCGAGTTTGCAATGGGTACTAATCCCTACATCATAATAAGTTGCCTTTACAGATTCACGTCTTAAAATAGCTCCCCTGTATTATCACGCCTGCCAATATTCGGTATTTTAAGAATTTTAGCTACATTTTTCAAGAGAAGTATATCAAACCTTCTCTGACAGACAATTAACTATAGAGGTCCACGTTCTTGTATAGTCCCGTGTAACCGTAACACGTGATACTCACATTTTTTTTTAATTATAGCGGCAGTTTTCAAGTTTCTTTCAAACGGTAGAGGGTATTAAAAGTTCGGCCCGCCCGAACTAAGCTTCGTTTTACTTGTTTTTAATAAGGATCTGATATTTTAAAATGACCACTTCGGGTCCACCTTTTGTTATGGCCTCTATATAACAGCATAACAGCACTATATTTGTAATGCCTGTACATCGATGCCGTTTCCGATTGAGATATTGCAAACTATATACAAAAATTTAGGTGTTGTTAAATTCCCACTCCCAAATGATAATATCCGGTCTTTAAATTGAAAATGATTTAAGCAGCAAAATTATGTATACCAACATTCGTTCATTAGAGTCCAAACAGTTTCAGATCTGCAGGAAATTGTTATAATTATCTCGTTTACATTGATTTTTTTTAAAATTATATGTGTTTTGAAAATTTATGATAACTTTGGACAAACTTGCAAGTGACAACTAAATAAAAGTTTATGTATGGAAAAATCAATAATGTTTTATAATCATCGAAACTGAGTCTCACCCGCAAACATTTTAAATATTCCCATTAATGTACGTGTAGTTTGTTAGAATGAATTGTTTTAGTCGCAATATCATAATATGGTAGCTTTTGATTGGTAAAAATTGCGAAAGAGGTATAATTTTCTTTCAAACCTGCGTGATTTTAGTTTTTTTCCTAGTCAAATTTAATTAACTCAGCAGAATTCGAATCAAACCCCATAAACGGTGGATATAGGTATGTGTGAAAGTAGAAAAATCGTCAATAATATATTTTATAAGTTCTACGTATCACGTTTAATGTGAACTCTTTTGGCATCAATAAGACCGAGCGATACTGTGGATAATTTAGTTTTTTTTTTTTTTATCAAAAATAGAATGTGGATAGTTTTAAAATATGGTTTTGTATATTCATTTTTCTTAGAGGAATACTGAACTCGGTTTTTAAATTTTAATTTTTAAACATATTAATGTTAATACATAATGAGTTGGTGCCAAATGTTGTTATAATATATCGAAAGATATGGATAAAAAACTTTTTCGAATTTGTTTAAAGAGTAAAACTCACTCTTGCTCGCTCGAATTCGAGTGAGTGCGCTCCTAAGTGCAGAATAAAATTCAAGCAAACTCAATTTTTCGATGTCGCTGAAATGTGAGTGAACATAAGTTGCTCGTTTTTGAGTGGGAGCAAAGGTTGCTTAAAATCGAGTAGATTCTACTCTTGCCAAGCACTCTTTTAGTTTTTTCCTCTTCTCCTGTGGAAATGAGCAAATATGTGCTCTTCTTTAAACATTTCGTCTTTGTTACATTAACATGCAAGTTATATGACCCATCGTTATATCCTCATCATGGTGTGGAGGCCGTATCCGTTTGTAACACCTCGAGATATAAGTTGTATACTCCACATATATTCCTAATCAGCATGAAATTCTATGTTGGTTCAAAAATGTCTGTCCGTCTGTCTGTCCATTTATAGAAATCACTCTAGCTTCAGAAGGAAATTAAGTAGGTTGACCAAATTTTGATCAGATGTATTTTATGTCTGCAGAACTTTCGATATTGAAAATGACCCAAGTAGGTACCGTACCGCCAGATTTAAGTTTTTTTTGTCGTTACCACCAATTTAACTTGAATTTGCTGTAAATAGACAGATTGTCTTTCCAGCAAAAAATCAATGTTTTGGTATGGCCAATATGGCTGTACTTCTAGATATTCTGTATTTAAAGGCTTTAAGCTATATTTTCGACTGATTTAATCAAACTTGGTATTTGAGTTCCTTCTTCGGCAAATAATTGGCTACAGATGTCCACGTTTTCATATATCCAGCATAAAATTGTACCTTAGCTGAGTTTTTACTTGTTTAAACTGGTATTTTCTGGATGTTATCCGGATTCTGCACCGTATTTTAATATATTTTTTATAGATTTGAAAACTTTTTAATTACATATTTAGTTTTTGGCTAATAAAATATAAATTTTAGACATAATATTGTGTTTATGGATAAATGAGAAATGCTCTTAACAGTTTATGTATACACTGTTATTGAACACCAAATGCCGATTTTTAAAATGAGAACAATTTTAATTATTGGATGCAGCCTCAAATTATGTGAAGTAATAATAAATTTTTTCAAATAGAATTGTTAAAGAAAATTTAAATTTTCCATACGCAAGTTCTCAATAACATATAAGTTCAATAGAGACAAAAAGAAAAATATGAAGCGAAAACGCAAGTTAAGACTAAATCATTATTTCGATATTTTCACATTTTGTATTTATTGCTAGTCGTATTTACAAACACAATTTTACACATTTTTCCTTTAAGAGAGATGATTAAGAACGTTCCGCCCCACACTCTTATATGTTAACATGTACGAACTTTTGTTATTCTATTATTAAAATATTGGAAATGCAATATGCAGTTGTCAAATGTGGCGTGTCGAAATATTTAATAACAGGTTGTTTCATTTGAAATGACATAGCTTTGCACTTTTGACTCTAGAATTGCAGTTGCAAAATGTGAATTGAATAGTACAATGGGATATGTGTGCATATTTTTTTACCAGGGTATTGTCACAGAGTTACATAAGTGGCAACGATGGCTGCAAAGCAACAAAGTAGTATCTCTATGACATAGGTCCCAACGTCCCGAAGCGAGGATGCAAATCGTTTATTAAAACATTAATAAAATCAAATATTTCACAAAGTAATTTCTCACAAGTGCGTGTCTTTCCCTTGCAGGTCCATTATCTCTTGAACGCTTCCCCGACGCCGAAGAGGAAGGGGATGTTGATGTGGTCGATTGTAGCGACACCGAATCAGCGGCATCCGTTGCTCGTCTATCGCGGCACGGTGGAGCAGCGCTTATCCAAAAGACTGCCCTTAAACATCGCATAAACTACAGCAATGACAGCGGAAATGGAAGCTCCAACCATAACCACAGTTCCAGTAGCAGTCGAGGGAGGGCGTCTCCCCAAAGTCCTTCTCAGGCGGAAGACGATCGTTTGTCCCCAGAGCCAGCGAAGGTAAAACGCAAAGTTAGCAAAACCCAACCTAAACTAAATGTAGAACTAGAATTAACCATCCCCATTTTTAGAACTCTCCCAAAATAGTTGGGTCCTGCAACTGCGACGAGCTGCTGCCCATTCAATGCCACCTTGAGACCAAAGAGTTATGGGACAAGTTCCATGAACTGGGCACCGAAATGATCATCACAAAAACGGGAAGGTAAGACGAACAGATTAAAAGGAGTGCTAGTTTCCATTTATTGCTAGAATGTCAAAATAACTTGATTGAGTATATGGCTATGTGGGTCTGCTATCATTGCAACAAAGAACAAACAGTGAATGCGTGTCACGACCAAGACAAGTCCAATATGTGTGAAAGATTAAGCGTGGCCACATACTTCACAGCTTTCATTCGTCGACTTTGCACGAACATTCATTTGAGCAAATGCAACAACAATAACTCAACATGATAGTGTCATCGAAGGGCACCACGAACTCTCGTCTGCGCTGCACCTTTGCCAGAACCACAACCGTTCGCAGATATATGGGAGTGCTACTACACTGGCTGATCACAAATGAAAAATGGTCTTCAACACGAATTCGATTCGCAAATGCGGACCCTAAACAAACAATAATCCCATACAATCTTTAATGTGGAGCCCTTCGTGATCCAAGTATCTTGAAGTTTCATTCTGATTAATTTCCAGAATGTTGCCTGTATTATCGAATAATATTTGAAAGGGTGAACGGGTGAATAAAGGCAACTACAAACTACAATTAATAACACTCTTGAAATAGAAAAATAAAACACAAAAAACTGTTTTTCGCAAATTATTTGTCACAAGTAATAATGTCCATAACCAACATACTGTTTATTGAAAAAGGCATAGAGCCCTTAAACACCATGGAACGTAATAAAACCAATGTTTGTGAAGGTTACATTGTTGATATTATATTTGGGAGCTACATACATATCTTCAAATCGGGACGGGGATGTTATAAAAGATAACTTTTATTGGTCATCTGATTGAACCGTTTCCGGAGCAATACAAGTAAATTGTAATTTTTGTGGCGGATCCTTTTAAAAAAAACCAAAAAAAAAAAAATGGATCCTACATGGGCTATTGAGATCTACATACTATCTTACAGCCTTGTAGTTCCGAAGATGTTAGTGATAAAAATCATGACATTTTCTCCACTAATATGTATTTAACCTTCCTAGCATTTTTAAATAGACGGCCTTTGGGATATATCCAACACCGGCTACGCGATCCATAGTTCATCTAAACGTTATAACTTTTATGAGTAGCTTGAGATTATCTTATCTATGGTATGTCCAACACCGGCTACGCGATTTATAGTTTTTCTAAACTTTATTAGTAGTAGTAGTTTTGTAGTCGTTAGTGATTACTTTGCACTTGTCATTTGTTTAAGGATAGTGGTAATCCAATTGAATGTGGAAGTCATTGCTAGGAATGTTCAAAGTGGCACATACGACATCCAAATGAATATTTCCCCGTCACACGTCAGCTTTTGGAGACTTAAATGCCAAATGGTATGAAGCATATATGGAGGGCTCACTGCTATACCGAACCAAGTCATGAAAAATAAAAAATGCCGAAATTAGTGCCAATGTCCCCGTATATGAAAACTCTGTTTACCCTGTAAAGCACAATGTCAAAAAGTGTTTCGTTCCAAAGATGACGGTAAAAAACCTAAGGCAACGACTGTCATTTTCGACTTTTTTCTAAGTCAGTGTGTTTCACTTTGAATCAGTACTATTAGTGACCACCTGTTTATTGTCGTTCAGTTTTCAGCAATATTAAAAAATAATCAGTGTTTTCTATAAATGGATAATAATAATAGCAGTGCCAGTGATTTTTCCAGCAATGAAGATGAGGAATATTTGCCAGCCACAAAAATGATGACGACGGAAATGACGAATTTTTTATGTGTAAATATTTGTTGAAACCATGGTGAAATTAAGAAGGCAAAGTCATTTCAAATAAGCATATCCGTCTCTGCATTTTGTGTAATTTACTCTGTCAAATTTCCCTGCCTAGAAAGCAGGTTCCCATATTTGATTTGCATGTACAATGGATTTATAAATATACATTTTGACAATGAGATGTTGTCAAATGCATAACTTTGAAAAAAAAAAAAATAGTAAAAAAGCTGTAAGTTCGGCCGGGCCGATATTGTACAAATTTGGCAATTTTCAAAAAATTAAAATCCATTAAAAATGCTGTTAAAATCTTAAAAATACCGAATGTAACCATGTTAGGGGCTATACGAAGGCGTGGACCTGCACAGACAATTTGCTGTCATAAGCTGTAGTATTCATTCCGGTAACAGTACCGCATATCGGGAGGTACCGTTATATGGGGGCTATACCAAAAATCCTGCAGACATAATGTACATTTGAGTAAATTTTTATCAACTTATTTAATTTCGTTCGGATGCTAGAGTGATTTCCACAGACGAACAGACGGGTAGACGGACAGCCGGACGTACCTCGCTAAATCGACATAGAATTTTATGCTGATCAAGAATATATATACATTATGGGTTCTAAAATGTATATGTCGAGGTGTTATAAACGGAATTACGAACGTAATATTCCCTCCATACTATGGTGGAGGGTATAAAAATGTATACATATAACTGCATGACTTTACCTTCTTATTTCTACCATATTTGAAACCTTAAATTTTCCTTTGTCCTTGTTAACATTAATTTATTTTTTTAAAAAAATGAATTTATTTTATTTTCCTAGAAATCACAATGACTGTCAATTACAATAGAAGCACCCGCAGCTGCCAGCCGCCAAACCAAGACATGACTTAAAATAAAACTCCGAAACTAGTGGGAAATTAATCGCTAAAGTTAACTATATTTAGTCATATAACGACACTTTATTTTATTTTTTTGACTTGGTTCGCTTTAGCTGTGAAACCTTGAAATTTTATTCAGAGTAATAATGAACCAAAGTAGATGTTTTTTGGAATATTTTTTTTTAGTAATATATTTAAATTATTTTTATTTTAAATTAATATCATTAGTTAATTTTGAATATAGACTTTTACATTTTCTTTTGGTAGACTAAAATATTCCTTCCAGAAATTAATGGAAGTGCATTTACTTTACCTCTAAATATCTTCGAATTATGTTTTTATGACTTAGTTCGGTATAGCTGTGAGCCCTTCATATATGAGACCTTTAACGGTTTTAGGCCGTAAATCTCTTTGGATCCTAGATCTTCAGGACATTTGGAGTCGATATAGCGATGTCCACCCGTCCGTCTGTCTGCCTGGCTGGTGCGCACGGTCCACTCCATCCATGTTGAATAATTATAACTCTTATAAAATGTGATCACAATATTTCTATCAGCACAAGATCGAGTGCGAAGATGTGATATATTGGTCGACTGCTTTCGGTACCTACCCGATTCCGATTCCATTTAGACTTGGTATATCTCATCAACACAAGACCTCTTATAAAGATGGTAGAGATCGCACAATTTCTTCTGGTACCTTCTTCACAAAGGTAGGTTAAAATCTTCAAAAACTTGCACATACCCCATATGAAGTGAAGAAAGTAACCAATATAGTGGAAACCTGGTTCGTGGAAATATTTATATCATATTTATTTAGGTCCGATACGAAATGGACAATATTGGCCCATTCCTTCGGAACCTAATCCATACAGTGTCAACAATTTGAATAATCATAACAAAAGTTAACACATATTTAAATAATCGAACACTGGCTAAGGGTATACATCGGTCGGCAAAACCAACTGACACTTTTTAACTTTTTAAATTCGGGTTTGCCCAAGATATATTTCCACGTTTGGAACCTATTAAAACATGGACCTGCGTTCGGTGCCAGTGTTACAAAAGAAATGAAATGAATGAATATGGCCTTCGGCCTACCCAAAGAATAGAAAAAGAGGGCACTGTATCGACTAAAGGAAATGATGGTGTACAGCTACTTGGTACATTGTTCCTAATATGTCCCCCAGCATTTCCGATGAGGGTTGCGTTACAACAAAATTGGATATGCGCAATGAAATTATTAATTAATTAATGAACTAAACGTTATACAGTGTGATATGTTAATTTTGTGCCCATTGCCCTTAAAACCTGCCGTGTGAAATATATGCTTTGTCTGCTAACCGCAGGGAAGGACAAAGGACAACAGGGTAGCAGACGTACAACAGACAACAGGCATAAAGAAGGCAGGTACACTACAACGTGAAAAAGGCACTCGGTTGCATCTCAATTTTGAAAAACGACCTCTAGTCTTGGGCTTTGCCAACATTCGTCAGGGTGTCCCTTTGTGTGTTGGGTCACACACTCACACACACACACAAGACGAGACAATGGCGAAGAAGGTGGCATTTCTAGACAATGACCGCATCTGTTTTGTTGTCCGCTGTGCATTGCAAACCATATTTGCGGTCATTGAGATAAAATATCACGTGGTCAACGGGTTTGTTACGCTGTCAGCCGTCGCTGCAGTGCTGCTGCTAATGTTTGACGATCTAGACTGTTTGACCTGCCCACCGTTGTCTTTCAGATACTAACTGATGTTGTGAATGCCGGATTTGACTTTAATAGATGCTGTTACGCTTGGCATGACTGTTTGCAAGCAGAAGCTGTAAATATTTGTCAACATTTGATTTTGGTCTGATAACAAAACCACACGGCTTGGTATTTCTGAGAAATGTGCGGACAATGCAACGCACTCTACCGTCAATGACACGAAGAAGAACAGAAAATGAGTGCAGCATTCGATTTTGCTGGCAAGGCGAGGATAATCATAATTTCCACGCTTTTCATGCACCGAACAAATTTGACAATTGTATTACAAATGCTTGGGTCTCCATGGGGGAACTATGCAATCCTTCTCACTCTGTAATCCATTTAAAATAACAAACTACTACTGACCTACAGTATGGACGAACCTCCGCGAGCGCCTCTTTGTCAGCTTGCTTCTGCTTATCATACACAAGCAAGAAATGTACATTTTCTCAAAAAAGAAAGGCTAGAATAATTAACATAATCCTCTTCCGTTTTGTACTGTAATTTTTGCTTAGTTAATATTTTCCCAAATCAACACCAGACACTTCTTGGACTGCTGTGCCATAATTTCTTTGGGGCTTAATTTGCCTAATTTTCCCATAAACAAACACATAAAATCCACACTTGTACGGAACTGGTAACAGGGGGCTCCTGCAGACACAAACGAGGTCAGTAAGAAGTGTAAGGTTGGCCGAGCCAGTAGCTGGAATACATGGCTTCTAGAGACATTTTCGAGGATGGTCTGTTTTCGAATTTGAAGACCGCCCTCGTGGTGTGCTTTTGGCGGACAAACTCCCTCCGGCAGGGTGGTGGGCGAGTAAACGTTTCTATTTCGTTGCCACCGGTCTTACCATGTTATACATAAACAATTCTTATGTAAATTATTCTGGAATATGATTTACGATCTTCTATTTTTATTAGCCCCCCACCCCCTTTTCCATTGCGAGTTGCCCTCCCTTAAGAAAACAGCTTTATGCTCGAATTTGTGCCGATATGCACACACACACATACATATATCAAAACACCCTTACTGTTTGCTCGAAGAATGCCAACACATATTTCGGGACATGTTAACACTTTGCTCAAAACAAACCATTCCTGCTACTGAGCTGTGAAAAACAAGCCATTGTCTTGTAATGAACCAATGTGCCAGAAATGGAAGATCTGTAAGAAAATCGGTTTATGCAAAGCAGGCTATTGAAATATGAAAGTGGGAAATTATTTGTTTGTGTAGTTATAGGAATAAACTTAAGTCACTCGAGTCAAACTCAAAAGCGAATTTAGATTTAAAATCAGATATCTTCAAAGGCAAGTCTACGGAGTCAGACTCGGAATCGACTATAACAACCCCGGAGAACACCTTAAAAATGAACGAGATTAACAAGTGCATTCCAAAACTTGTAATAGTGACCATATAATGGAATATGTCAATACAGACGAACAATCAACCATATATAACCACATAAAATGCATCAGACAGGATACTTGCAGAATGCAGTAAAGAAAAGACCTCGCCGTGCAACTGGATGGTAAAGGAATTGTTCAGTACAACGTTATTAACACTACAAGAGAAAGGACGAGTGGGTAGAAATATATTAATGTAATAAGTTTTGTCCTTTGGGGGGAGGTACGAGGATCTGAGGAACTGTACTGATGACTAAATTCTGATACAATTGCTCCCGCGTGCCGAGTTTGGGCATTCAACTCGTTACATATAAATTTGGACTAAATCGGAAACTCTCTCCTAGAGTTATCGTTTGACTCAAGTTTTACTATCAAATGTTTGTCACATCAAAGCTTGTTTTTGTAGCGATGGGGTTTTTGCCCGCTTTGCTCTGTTGCAGAACCTGTAAGAATATATTATGTTTGTAATCTTTTTTCGAAATCACAAAGGGAAATCGGTTATTGTAGTAAAAATTGTTACATTCCTGCAGTTCTGAAACAAACCATATGTTTTAAAAAGGATAATATTTTAGATAATACCCGGGCTGAAGTTCATACAAATTTTTATTTTTTATTATTACATAAATAGTTTAATAGCTTAAAAAATCAAAATTTTATTTCAATCAAATTCAACAGTTTTTGGTTGAAAACTAATAATTTATAGCCTCAAAGATTCGACGTTTTGAGAGGTTGTTCTTGTATTAGCATTACAAATCCTGTGAATATTCAATCCTCTCCAAGCGATTCGAGATGTGAAATGGGTCTATCTCAAAGTAAGTAATTGGCGTATGTCACACCAAACATGACCCCGACGATTTGCCATTGGTGTTCTTCATTGTAGGTTATATAAGAAGTAAATGCAAATCTTCCAATTGCAAATTGTTCTGATGGAAATTTGGAATATTTTTGAAGGTATTATTAATAATACTTCGAACTTGTTTTTGTTATTTTTCTTTTTTTTTTGACTTGGATTGTCAACAATGGAACTTTGTACAACGCCCGGTGAAGAGTTTTTAACTGCTGTACTGTTATGTCTTGCCTCTTTTTATTTTGTATGACAAGAAGAAGTTGAGGAAGAAGGAACAATTACATTGCCAGAAATACCGTCATCAGAATAAAATGTACGATTGTCTTGTAATTAAAGCAGACATACCGCGATATGGTATGGTGGCATTCTACTCTGTCTAGAAAACAACAGTAGCATTTGGAAATGACAACAAACAGCCACATACAAACTGAGGAACAGTCGTCATTTGGACTTGTTTTGATCCGCATGCAATTCGCCAAAGCATTGCGTTTCGATTTCAATCTATGTCAACACTTCATTTGCCAAGTTTTATGCGGTGTAGGAAATTTGCTGGTAGCTGCCACTGCTCTGGCATTGTAAACATAAATACAAACAAACAGACACACAAATGTCACTGTCATTTCGGTAGCTGCATACCTTGCAGTTGTACCAAAAACTGTTTTTTTAATTTGAACCGCCAGTTTTGTTGATTTTTTACTTAGCTGGCCGCAAAATGCTTTATAATTACAGGAGTCAAGTTTGCGAGCTATATGGGTTGTTTTGGTTGTTATTTGAAATATTAAAAAAAAAAACATTGGGTCATATTTTTAAACATATCTGATATTTTCCACATCAGTTGCCAGTAAAGGCTGCGGAAGTGGCTCGTCCTTGTCAATGAGTTTTTCGCTCATAGTTTTTTTTTGTGGCCAGAAGTAATAAATGACAAATGTACATTTTTCGTTTCAGACGAATGTTCCCGACTGTCCGTGTCAGTTTCTCCGGACCTTTGAGACATATGCAACCACCAGATCGCTATGCTGTCCTTATCGACATTGTACCCATGGATTCGAGACGATACCGATACGCGTATCACCGGTCCTCGTGGCTGGTGGCTGGCAAGGCTGACCCTCCACCCCCAGCCCGTTTATATGCCCACCCAGACAGCCCCATAAGTGTCGATGCACTGAGAAAACAAGTGGTTTCATTCGAGAAGGTCAAATTAACGAACAATGAAATGGATAAAAGTGGACAAGTGAGTATGTTGTAGACAAATCTTTTCGATTATGACTGCAGGGTGGAGTAGAGAGACAGGTGTATGGTACCGATGAACCATAACATCGACTTCTTCTATTCCCGATATAAAAAAACTTATGTTGCATATTTTTAATAAACCATGAGATCGGATTAAAAAGCGGACGAGATTTTCAACTATTTTTAATCTATGACAGCAGTCACAAGACCTACTTAAACACATATCTACAATAACTACATTGGTGTATTTCCACAGATTGTATTGAATTCAATGCATCGCTATCAGCCAAGAATCCATCTGGTCCGCCTTAGCCATGGTCAGAATATTCCCAACACCCCCAAGGACTTACAGGAAATGGAACACAAGACATTTGTCTTTCCGGAGACAGTCTTTACGGCAGTAACGGCCTACCAGAATCAATTGATAACAAAGCTGAAAATAGATTCTAATCCATTTGCCAAAGGCTTCCGAGACTCCTCTCGCCTAACTGATTTTGACCGGTAAGTGAAAGCAAACACTAACTCAATTAAGTCTGCAAATTTTAGCTGTTCCAGAGGTTGCGTGAAAAATATGATTGGTCATAAAATGTTGCTTGAAATTAGGTACTTTCAATAGAAGCCACATGTTTTGAATAAAAAAAAACCGAAAAGTTAATTCTCCCATGCAAGATTTGTTATGTCTGGAAATGTGTGATAAATAAAGAATTGAAGCAAGTGACTCAGACATTGAGGCATCGCACAGTGGTGTAAATGGCCGCATACAAATCGACTTTAAAATACTTTTAAAATGGCCAATCATGGTATTTTGTTGAGTTGGATCCCCACTGGTCACAGAGTATCTGGTATCCTGGTCCCAACAAAGACACAATAAAATGCTCCCACTAAGTATTTCCTACAGAAGTGTTGTTCGTCGACTGTGAAACGAAAAAACGAAAATAAGAACTTTTTCAAAAACCTCTTTGACTTCTTGCGTTTATATCATTTCATTGTCCTTATGTTCTTTGTTTTATGCTGTTCAGCATTTCCTTTTCTATTTCTCCTTAAATCGTTACCACTGTTCCACTGTCAACAGCCAACAATGTACATTTCTCTCCGTCCTGGGCAACATGGCTGTGCGAATACATATTTCGATGGTGGTGGTGAAGTCGGCTGTGGTGTGACGTGGAAGCAGAGCTGGCTGCGGCGGCAGTGTTTTAAGTGGCGTAAATTATAGGTCGGCACTTTTAACTTTGAAGCTCATACGTACACGAAAACACGATAATAATGAGCGAATGCCGAATAACATTGGCCGCCGCCGTTCTTAGACTACCACTGTCGATTAATGTTGTTGCCGTTTGCCAGTGCCAGTGCCAGCGTCAGTGTTGCAGTTAGGTTTTCACTGCAATTATCAGAGAACGTACGAAAATTAGTTTAGTTTTAACAGAGAACTTTAATTCTTCACAAAATAAAATAACTTTTTTTGTTGCCTTCCTTTTCGTCATTTTGTTGCAGTGACCCCATGGACTCTTATTTGTTTGAGCAGCACTTTCGATCGCCACTCAGATTCTTTCCGGACCCACTGATGCAGCAAATGTCACCCCAGGATGCTGATGCTGCATCCATGGCCTTTCTGGAAAAGGCCAGGCAACACCTGCAGATGTTTGGGCGGTCACCATACACGGAGATGTTATTGCCTCATCTATACCAACGTCCTCCGACTGCAGCAGCGCTGAACGCCTTCAACTTGGGAATGTGGCAACAACAGTGGCCCCAATTGACCGCTGGGTTTCTGGCTAACCACCAAGCGGCAGCAGCACAGGCCGCAGCAAATGCGGCTGCTGCAGCAGCTGCCTCATCTCGAAGGAGTCCGCAGCCCATAAATCCACCAGCACCCGCTACGACGCCCTCTTCATCTGGATCGGCTTCTCCTGATTTGAGGACAAAAAACTTCCATCGATTCAGTCCCTACACAGTTCCTCAACAGCATCAACAACAACAGCCGTCCCAACCGCCACCTCCGACAAGAAGTCCGCCAAACTGATTTCATTCTACCCAACCAGTGCAATCGTAAATAATGTTGACATTATTTAGTAGGGGCCTTGTGAACCGTGAAAGGATCCCGCTTTATGATTATTTGTAAAGTTCCCACATATATGTTAGTGTAAAGACAGAACACAAGAGCTATCAACCTGTAAATAAATGTAATTCCTTAGATATAGTCCTGAGAATTGAGGCCCAAAGGCATAATTTGAATGTATCCCGCTGAAAACACTCGATTCTTTGTAGAAAGTGCTTTGTTAGTGTATAAAAAGGCAAGGGCCCATGATGGACCCGGCAAATGCTACCGATACTTACCTTTGTATTGGCAGACGTCTTTGTATTTAATATTGTTCCTAATTGTAATGAATAGCCTAATGAAGTATTTTAGATAAATAAATGCGAATAAATGTAATTGACGGAATGTTGCTACACACACACCCATACACAAATACATATAAATAATAGCTTAAGATAGAAAACATATTTTAAATTTGGTTTAACATTTTGTAATATGTGCTTATGACCAGTGAAAAAATTAGTAATTTATTTAAAGCTTCATTAAAAATAAAGAGAAACACATCAATGAATTATAAAAAGCATATCTACATATTTTCGTTTCAATTCGTATTTTACAATTAGCTTCCAATTCTAAGTGAAAGCGGAAAAAGAGAGACAAATTCTCCTCTGGTGCCTTTTAATCGGCATGGATGTGAGGTTTAAGTAAACTGGGAATTTTCTAAAGGTTTTCGGTTTTTGTGAAGTGCATTCATTTAGAATGATTATCATTACAAGCTCATCTAACTGATTCGAAAAGTTAGTACGCCTTACTCTACATTAGACAATTATAATTGGTATCGAATAAATTCTAGAATTTAAAAATTCATCTGCCAGTCTTAATCCCATAAAATATTAGGATATATAGATCAACTCTATGGCTTGACATTCTTAAGCCTATGAACCGGGAAATTTTCTTTTAATCTAATGGATTTATTACAACTACATAAAGATTGTTCAAAGGTTTTAGACTATTTTGGGGCAATAGTACCCTTTCCTTTTTTATACCATCCACCATTCTATGGAGGGTATATTAACTTTGTCATTCCGTTTGTAACTCCTCGAAATAATAGACCCTACAAGGTATATATATATTCTGGATCAGCGTAAAATTCTAAGACGATTTAGCGATGTCCGTCTGTCTGTTGTAATCACGCTATCTTTCGAACGAATTGAGATAGAAGGCTAAGATTTTGCATACATGCATAGTTTACCAGTAGGCAGGTTAAGTTCGTAAATGAGCCATGTCGGTCCACGTTTTCGTATAGCCCCCCACCAAAAATTTTGTATGCAGGTCTACGACTTCGTATAGCCCCCATATAACGGTACCTCCGGATAGTTGGTATTTTGACGATTTCAGCAACATTATCCACCGGAATCGTTTCAAATTTCGTATTGAAACTCATGGAAAAAAAATTTAATGCAGGTCTACGTCTTAGTATAGTCCCCATATAACGTTTTTCATTTAAGTGGTAGTTTCCTTTTTTTTTTTTTTTGAAAAATTTCAAGTTCCTTCGAAATGGTGAAGGGTATTAAAAGTTTGACCCGGCCGAACGTAGCTGCTTTTTTACTTGTTATTTATTGATTTTCAAGAGTGTAATTCCTAGATTGTTTAAAAAATAACTTTTATACCCTCAGTCATATGGCTAGAGAGGGTATATATCATTTGATACGGCCAAATCAGTTTCAGGACGGTAAATTATTTTCTTTGAAATTTTTCAACTTTTGTGGGGAGGTACTAGAAAGAGTTGGCCGATGTTGCCCATCTACGAACTCGATCTACATTCGACAATAATATTATGATGTACCAAGTTTGGACCGAATCGGAGTTCCCTTCGAGAGTTATCATGCGCACCCACCAACCAGAAAGACGGACGGACATCTCTAGACCGAATCGGACGAGAAGTATTATCATTTTGTTCAAACTTTGGAAATCCCAACACTTTAGCCAGTGCTATGTCAGGTGTGAAAATAGGCAAAATCGGCCCACTCCATCAACTACCTCCCCCACAAAGGGTCAACATTTTAAATAACTATAACTCTTATTAAACTTGAAGTAAAAGTCTTCAAATCTTCAAATTTCATACATCCCAATATCTCTTCCAACACAAGTGTGAAGATGGGATATATCGATCTACTCCTTCTGGTACCTCCCCCACAACGGGTCAACATTTTGAATAGCCATGAAGCTCGTAGTACGCGAAATGAATCGCGAAATATTTCTATCAATACAAGATATTTGCGGGCAGATAGACGGACGTAGTTTAGTCGACATAGAATTTCACTCTGATCAAGAGTATATACCTTATGGGAAAGTTCTGTGGAGTTTCAAAGAGATGATCAAATAACATACCTCATCATCATTTTAAGCGTCCTGAACATGTTATAACATTAATCACGAGGTGGACAGAACTAAATACCTGGTAGAAGGGTATTCTAAACATACCGAACTCAAATAACTATAAATTAATAATTGAGGTATTACAAACAGTGGAAATTTAATTTTTAAAAAATATCATTCGAACTCTCAAAATACTTAAAATAGACCGAAAGAAACCCCTAGAAATATCGACCGATTTGATGAACCAAAGCGATTTTATTGGAATACATAAATAACCTTGAACCATGGAAACTGGCACAAATTCAATAGGCAAGAAAAAAATACCAAAAAAAAAAACTATAATACATCTTGAGAACAATATTATTGTTATTAGTTAGTAATAATACTTCTTTAAAAGCAATTTCATATTTCGAACCCTATTCTAATGGTAAGGAAGAATAATTAGGGAGTTTCTTTAGCCTTTCTCAATACAATCCTAAGATTTTCTTAAACTTAATGCTTATAAAAATATTATTCTCAAGTCCTTTTGCAAACATATATATCCACTGACAAAAATTAAAGAGGAGGTGACAGCGTGATATGCCTGTACGACTGTTTTCGGAAACATTTCCCCAAAGGAGATGCACTATATATTCAAGATTGTAGTTGATGAGAGTAAATTCCAACAATATATTCGTGTCAAATTTTGTGTTAAACACACAATTCTGTTGGGGAAATCAGCCGGCAAACAATTCTCAGGAAGCCCAACTTTTATTGCTATTCTCCTTCATTTGTAGAGGGATGTACACTGTATGCAAATTGAACAGAAAATTATATGTAAACATTATGAAACTCCCTGAACCTTCACCTTTTAAATGGCCTAATTATTCGCATCATATCAACATCGCACTTGTCTATTAGGTCCCCAGCAACTGAGGGTGAAAAACGTACCAAGAAAATTAGGCGGAATGAGGTTTTATACACAAATTACTTATCGTGGCAGTAAACGCCTAATTTCAAACATAAATATCATTTGTCTGCTATCTCAAATGACCGATCTCGTTCCTTACGTTTTCATTTGCATCAACCACCTCCGCCGCGTATACACCTGGGCAGGGGTATCATCATCTAGTGTCCCAAAACACTCCCGCCCAAGAGACTGAGAAAGAGATGAGGACTGCGAACTAATAATAATGGTCATAGACGTTAACGTCCCTTCGCCAGTGTGCGTTGTTTGGCTTGGTCTTTATCGTTCCGAAACGGCTTCATTTTCATCATCATCATCATCGTCGTCGTAGTCAGTGCCATTCAGGCAAGAAGCCACTTTTTCGGTGGCATTCCAGTTTGTGCCGCATTTTGCTTCTTTGCTACCTTTTTCGGGGATTCCTTATCTACACGCAATTCGCAGTTAAGTGTGAGCATTTAAAATTCTCGTTTATTCCGCTTGGGCATTTGAAACACACTCATACACACCTACACCCAGACAGAATGTGTGGGGCACGTAGGATGTTGAAATGTTGTTCTTTTTTTTTGTTGTTTGTTACTTTCCAAAACCGTTTGGTATCCTCTCGACAAAATATGCGCGCGTTTATCTAAACAATAATTTGTTGGTTAGTTGGTTGTTGGCATTTAACAAATTATTTCACACCCTCTTGTGGCCAAAAGTGGACCGAAAAAGGAAGGACTTTATAAAATGAAATTTGTTTTCCAGAATGATAATGGGAAGAAAAAGAAATAATAACTGGTGGCCAAAAGTCCACATGCTTTTATTTGTCCGAATTATGAGCGAGTGTCGGGGCATTTGTAAGGATGTGCCATGACAATTCATAGAATCTATTCTGATATGAATGAAATATCTAATTTAAGGGGGTTATGCGTAAGTGTAGCAGGTATTCGCCACATTTTAAGTTGATTTTTTTAATTGGAACAATGTTAATGTATTCAGATGCGAAATTTTGTTTAGTTTTTGAAATAATAAACAAACCCACATGCACATCCTTAATGTTTTGTGGTCCAGTAGTCGGCATCAGAATAGATAACATAATTTTGCATTTAACGCTTCAAAAAGACCCTATTGAAACTTTAGAACTTTTAGCATAGTTACGAGTTTTCTAATTTTGACGTCTCCACTAATTCTTCCTTCCTTCCTTCACAGACAAAAATTTACATTTTTATAGAATAAACCATTTGTTTTTAGCGGAATTTTACACAAAGAATAGCTTACATTATATTCGAAGCTAATATAAACTTATTTTAATTTAGTCATAAAAATTCCTATTTATTATTCCGACTTCTGGGCCATGTCAAACTAAGGCGCACTTACCCTAACTGTCCTAGATTGCTCGATCAGTCGAACTCGAGTGCATATGATGAATCTGATTTTAACATTTTCCAGGAGTGACAGCAGCAATTCCATTTTCTCTTTAATCCAATTTAACCTTTTTTACTTCAATATCACAATATTATTTATGAGTAGAAGAGTATATACTTGAAGGAAATCAATTTCGAAAACCTATATGATCCTTTTATTGTTTTATAAAAGCGCCTCACCTCACCTAACTAGAGACAGGCTCGTTCATGTCATTATATTCTGAATAGGATTTGAATTGGTGTTGAATATTAAAGACAATGCATTAATTTTGATAGAAACCTATTCTGTAGTAGAGTATGGATTATTATATACCAATTCAATATTATTATATACCAATTCAAGCAATTTGTTTTGTAAGACTTTTAGATGACAGTTCGGCCCAAACAGGAGATGGAATATTTGGAATTAACATCTTGTTTTAAATATTCAGAGCGGATGTTTGATTTAATATTTTAGATCTAAATGAAATGTATGAAATATAATCACTGAGTGTTTATTTTTGTTCCATTTTCTAAAAAAAATACTGCCATTAAAGATAACTCTAGAGCTTGGTAAATAAAGCATTGCCAATGATAAAAAAAAAACTGAAGTGTAGTGATAAATAATAAACGGGTCAAGATGGGATCGACGAGTGGGAAGGCAGGTGGCAACTTGCTATTGATATTCATTTAGGAATATCCCAGGCAGATTTCGATGAAAAAAACTTTGTTCTTAAAAAGGTATTTCAGTTTCCCTCTGACCAAATCATTTATGTCGACCCAAATGGAGGGTGTTAATTGAATTTTAATAAGCAATTTTAATGAAAGCTTTGACAGCTGTAACTTTTCACACGCTCTCCACCCAACAA